CTCACTTGGTAGTCCAGGCTGGCCTCGAACTCACAGAGATCCGCCTGCCTCTGCCTCCCGAGTGCTGGGATTAAAGGCGTGCGCCACCACCGCCCGGCATGGCTTATATACTTTTAAATACGTTCCTCTTTACATGAACCACCAGTTTTCCCATAAGAATTATCCAATTATCCTTTGCAATAGTAAATTAATTTAATTAGTTGTAATCTTTACAGTAAGTCAGCCATAAAGGTGAACAACAGCTACAATCTTTAGTTCGTGTTCTCTCTCTCTCTCTCTCTCTCTCTCTTTCTCACTCTCTCATCCACGTGGTTCTGGGAACTGAATCCAGAGCCTTGCACATGCAAGTCTGACAAGTGCTGTACCCCTGAGATGACCCAGGTTACTTCCATTTTTTAAAAATATTTTTACATTTATGCCTGTTTTGCATGTATGTATGCATGTGTGCAATGCCCAAAGAGCCAGATGAGGATGTTGGACCCCTTGGAACTGAAGTTACAAATCATTGTGAGCTGCCATGTGGGTGCGAAGAACCAAACCCAGGTCCTCTGGAATAGTAGCCAGTGCTTTTCATGGCTGAGCCATCTCTCCAGCCCCATGCTTTTCATTTTTAAAAAGGCAAATTATGGGCCGAGGAGACAGTTCAGTAATAGAAGGGTTTACCACAAAGCCTGACACCTGAGTTCAATCGTTGGGACCCACATGGTAGAAAGACTCCCTAAGGTTGTTCTCTGACCTCTACATGTGTGCTGTAGACACATGACCACCCCTGTACAGAACATAATAATAAAATGTCATAAAAAGGCAAACTTACTTCAGTGCCTCAAAGAGAACAAACACCTAGATATATAGAAGAGAAGCATAAACTAGTTTTAGAAAATACATTGTAAGTCAATAGAAGAGAGGCCGGAAAGATGATTCCAAAGTTAGGGTGTGTACTGCCCTTACAGAGAACCCGAGTTCCATTCTGGGCACCTGACAACCACTTTTGAATCCAGATCTAGGGGATTCAATGCCCTCTGCTGGTCCCAGTAGGAACTGCACTCACACACAAGTACACACACACACACACACACACACACACACACACACACACACACACAAAAAAAAAACAAAATCAGTAAGAAAAAGCAGCCATCAGGTAGGCATTCACAGCACATGGACTCACCTCAGGACCTACAATCACCATGTAAACATTGGGCTCTTCTTGATGCCATTCTTGGGAAGAAAAAGAAAGAAGAAAGACGTTGAATGGACCTAACATGGCTTCAAGTCACAGCTAAGAAAACAATTCGGCTTAACTACAAATTACTCCAGGCTATGTGTTGTACTCTTAGGTCATTAAGCATTCAACCATGCTAAACAGGATCGATTTCATTTCTTTAGCCTATATGAGGTATTTTATGCTCTTACTTGAAGATTTGTTTCTTTTGGGGCTGGAGCAATGGGTCAGTGGTTAAAAGCACTTGCTTCTCTTGCAGTGGGATCAGAATTTGGTACCCAGCACCCACACGGCAGCTCACAACTGCCTGGAATGCCAGTTCTGGAATAGGGTGTCCACAGGCACTGCATACTCATACACAAACACATAAAAATAAGGGGATATTTATAACAAAAAAGTGATAGGATTTTTAAAACACTCTTTTAGCCTTATATTTATTTCCAATTTTTCTGCCATCCTTCATACCTGAAGCTACAAGTCTACAATAAAGTAATCCAATAAATTACCCTTCCAGCTGTCTCCAAAGTGATCATCTAGAAATGGTTCTGCTTATATGCCAAGAGCAAAAAAAGAAAAAAGAAAAATGATCCCACCAGGCAAGGTGGCTCACAGTGTCATCCCAGAACTTGAGAATCTGAAGCAGGAGGATTGGGTGTTCAAGGCCAGCTGGGGCCAGCCAGTAAGAACACAAGACCAAGCAAGACACATCTCTATTCACAAATCCACAGGAGGAAGGGGGGCACTGGGCTACATACCTGAGAATGCGTCTACCAAGTACAGAGGATCCTTTACAGGCCTGAGTCCGCATATTACCAGGAACACATATAGGTTGTCTGCACTTTGGTCAATCTCTGCAATGTAAGAATGGAGGATACAGCTAAAGTTATACAACAGCAGTGACATCACCGTGACATGCAGACCAGAGGTCCCCCACGTTGGCCTTCCTACTTTTTGCATGTCCTCTGACTGCCTTGCCACGCATTAGCTTCTCCAAGCACGGGTAGACCTGAGCCTCACTCTGCCCGTGAAATGCAAGGTCTCTGCCATAGAAAGGGAGGGATGGGGCCTGGGAGAGCTGACCCAGTCACTGGGGATAGGAGTCAGCAGTCCCAGGAAGGACTCGGGCACAGTTCCCGTGGAGAAAAGTGTTCTTTTCTTGATGCAGCAAGAAAAGTGGCGTTTGGATGAGCGTCCTCAAGAATTCACAGATGCACGGTAGGTATGAGCATATGTCCCTGGGAACAGGAAACACACACATACGTGCTGCCATCCTGTTGTTTTTTCTGCGTATGCCAGTTGGATTTGTCAACTATACCTCGGAAAATTGTAACAGTTCTAAAAGTAGATGTATATGTTTATAGAGTGGTTTGGGTTTTTTTTTCATCTGTTTCTATTTTGTTTCTCATGGATAGTATATGAGATAGTGTCACCTATAATAGACCAGGTGGGCCTCAAACTTGTTAGGTAGCTGAGGACCTTGAACTTATGACCCTCTTGACTCCACCTCTCAAGTCTAGGACTACAGCCGTACACCACCATGCCTAGTTTAGGCTGGGATCAAACCCTGGCCTTCCTGTGTGTTAGGTAAGCGATCTACCAACGGAGCTGTCTGCGTTAGCTTTGAAAAAGACATGGAGGGAAAGAGGATGGAGAGGTGATCCAGCAGTTAAGAGCACTGGCCGCTCTTGCAGAGGACCCAAGTCCAATTCCCACCACCCACATGGTGGCTTACAACCATCTAACTCCAGTTCAAGGGGATGTGATGCTCTGATGCCCCCTTCTGGCCTCCATGGGTACTGCATAAATGTAGTGCATAGACATGCATATGGGCGAAATACCCATACATATGAATAACAACAACAACAACAATAATAATAATAATACAGAGAAGGCCTAGGAGTGCCAAATCTATGATGTAGGACCAGCAGTGGGCACCAGTCTTGGTGACTCTTCTCATGACAAGTGAAGCTGACTTCCTCACCCCTGGCCTCTAGATGGAGTGAGAACCTTCCTGGCCAACAAAATGCTTCCTTGTGAGAGCACTCATCACTCCCTGGTCATCTGGCCACACAGCTTTCTTGGGAAAAAAGTCTTCATAATGAGGCTCATCCTGGCAGCGTGAAGTCCCAGACCTGAGGTGAGGCTGGGCATTAGACACATGAGAACATGAAAGGAACAGCATTGATGGGCCCAGGACAGGCAGAGGCTGCCCAGCTGAGCCACAAAAGTACAACAGTTCACACCTACAAAAATCATGAGAAATGGCCATAGTTGTTTGAGACCAGGAGATCTTGAGGTGTTTTATGGCAACTGGTAGATAATTGATTTAATAGCAACTATTAATAGACTCAGAAAGAAAAAAAAAAGCTGGTCTAAAACATAAGCTTTTACAGCCTGTGTAATTGGCCATAAAACTATGCATGTGCAGGGCTATCCGTCCGAGGATGAGTATTTGCTGATTTTTTTTTATGCAAACCATTTTCTGCAAACCATTTTCTGAGCTTACCTGAGTCTTGAGAATAAAAATGGTTTATGTGTCATACATGTAGCTAACTAAGTGCATGAGGGTCCCAGGTCAGCAAAGAGGACAGGAAGAGTGACTCTGGGCAGAATCACATTGACCGTGAAGACTCTGAGCCTTGTTCCAGCAAAGCTTTAAAAGCAATCACAGGGGCTGGGGATGCAGCTCAGTGGTAGTGTGTTTGCCTTGCACACCTGAACACCTTGGATTGATACTAGCGCTACCCCCACACTCACCCCCCCCACACACACACCCACACAAATCCTAAGCCAGGTGGGGTAACATATACCTTCAGTCCTGGTAATTAGTAGCCTAAATCAGAAGGATAACATCAAGTTTGAGGTCAACCTAGCCTAAACAGTGAATTCAGGACCAGCATGGGCTACAGAACAAAACCCTGCCTCAAGAAAGGAAAGGAAGAAGGGAAATTCTAGGTGAATATGATCAAGAAACTTTATATGTTGGAGCAGGAGAGATGGCATGGTGGTTAAGAGTTCTTACTGTTCTTGCAAAGGACCCAAGTTTAGTTTAGCACTCATGAGGCCACTTGCAAGGGTCTGCAACTCCAGCTCCAGAGGATCCAATGCCCTCTGCTGGCCTCCTTGAGCATTGCACCCACGTGCACATAACCACACACAGATATACATGCATATTTAAAACTAAAATAAAAATCTTGAAAAAATAATAAAACATGGCCAGGGTGGTGGTGGTTCATGCCTTTAATGCCAGCACTCAGAAGGCAGAGGCAGATGGATCTCTGAGTTCAAGGCCAGCCTGGGCTACACCGTGAGTTCCAGGACACCAGAGCTGTTACACAGAGAAACCCTGTCTCAAAAAACCAAAATAAATAAATAAATAATAAAACATTATCTATGTATGAAAATGTCATCATATGTCATATACATACATTTCATGCATAATTAATATATTATTTAAAAAGTTACTACAGTCGCTGAATTAAATTTGATAATATCACTAAGCTGTTTTGAGGGTTCTATATTTTTCCACCAATACTCTGGATTTCCTACCTAATCTTAGTAGATAAACCTTAGCAAATGCATATTTGACTAAAGTCTGAGCCAGAAGCTACGGATAGAATGTGGTCTCAAGGTCGGAGAATTGGAATTCAGGCACCGGAATCCAAGGTCAGGAGTCAAGTGATTGTCTTTAATAAATGATAAGCTATTCTCCTTAATAAAATCTAAGGGGAGGAGAGGTCAGGATGAGAAAACAGCCCAAGCCTTCATGTCCAGGGAAGAGCTGCTAATGTCTGCCTGAGCCTCAGACTGAAGGTCTGCTTGGGGACAGAGATCAAAAGCACCTTAAAAAAAACTTGCTTATTAATTTCAGAGGAAATATAATTCTATACATGGTGGAAATGAGGATCCTTTTTCGCTAAAGCAGGAAGTCTCAGTCCAGCACACAGGGGCTGTGTATTCATACACACAACCCCATTGCTACTATAGATGCATCTACAGCATGTGGGCATACATAGGAATTCATATATTCCAAAATGACAATCAGCGACAGGACAAGCTAGCTATCCAATCCAGAGTGGAACATGGCTCCAATGTGCTCACACTCTCGATGTAGGGAAATGTGTTCAAATCCATGGGAGGAAGAAGAGGGCAAGGCAGGCAGGCAGTGGGAGAGCCACGAGGACTCCCAAGATGGGAAAGTGGTCTCATTGAAATGGGAGAAAAAGGGGGCTGGAGAGATGGCTCGGCTGTTAAGAGCACTGGTTGCTCTTCTAGAGGTCCCGAGTTCAATTCTCAGCACCCGCATGGTGGCTCACAACAATCTGTAATAGGACCAGAAGGCCTCTTCTGTGAGGCAGAAATACATGCAATTAGAGCACTCATATATGTAAAAATACATAAACAAATATTTTTTTTCTTTTTTTTTTTCTTCCAGAGCTGAGGACCAAACCCAGGGCCTTGCACTTGCTAAGCAAGCGCTCTACCACTGAGATAATCTCCAACCCCATAAATAAATATTTTTAAAAAGGAAATGGGGAAAAATATAAATATGTACGCCAAATGCTGCACCAAGATGACATTCTGGGAGGTTGGGGAGCCCTGGCACCTGGTAAAAATGACTCTTCTGTGTCCCTGTGTGACATGGGTGATGAGGACATTAATTCCTTCCTGTTCACATGAGTCACCTGCTCGAAACAACTGCTTGAACACCTCTTGGCCCAGTTGGGAGGTACTGGGGAAATCTAGCCTTGTGCCTTCTGAGATGACCCAGATGGCTTGGAAAGACAGCCCTGGAAAGAGGCTGCTCCATGGACCTCATCTCTGATTTCTACAGGATGCTGCCTGTTAAGTTAGAGGAAGATATGCACCATATTGCAGCTGAGAACCCATGATGTCTGTGTGTCACATGCAGTATTCACACACAATAAAAACATGCTGTAGGGGCTGGAGAGACCCCAGTGGTTAAGGGAACTGATTGCTCCTACAGAGGACAGGGGATAAGTTCCCACTACCCATATAGCTGCTTACAACCACCTGACACTCCAGTTCAGGGGATCTGATGCTCTCCTCTGGCCTCTATGGGCACCAGGCATGCACATGGTATATCCTATTCACACAAGGAAAAACACACACACATAAATGAAAATAAAATTTTAAAAACTTAAACATATCCGGGCGGTGGTGGCATACGCCTTTAATCCCAACATTTGGGAGGCAGAGGCAGGTGGATCTCTGTGAGTTCGAGGCCAGCGTGGTCTATAGAGTGAGATCTAGAACAGGCACCAAAACTACACAGAGAAACCCTGTCTCGAAAAAACAACAAAAAGCAAACAAAAAAATTTAAACATACACACACACACATACACACACACACACACACACACACACACACACACACACACACACACTTCAGACTTCAGGTGGATAATGATAGAATTCCTCGCCTAGAAACGGGGTTCCTACAAGGTCGCAGATATCTTGCTGGACCTTGCTTGGTCATCTGTTGGGAAAGCCTGTCTTGCCTTGAACAGGCAACTCTGGGAGGCAGGAATTTCAGGAAGGAAATGTGAGCTACACCATACAATTCTTTCTGCCCTTTTTTTCCCCTGAGAGAAAGAGTCTGCTCCCTTACTGTGTGCACCAATAAACACAGACCCATCTATTGAAAGGTCAGAATCCTGTCTCCTTCTGTCTCCTGTCTCTTTAAACTGCCTCCAAAATCTAATAGATGGGACTATAGAACAATTAGAGGGCTTGTCTAGCTTGGAGGAAGCCCTGCATCCACTTGCCAGCGGAGTATAAACCAGGTACGACAATGTATGCCCACAATGCTAGCACTCAGGTGGAGGCAGAGGGGTTAGAAGTTCAAGGTCATCCTCAGTTACATAGCAAGTGTAAGGCCATCCTGGGCTACATGAGACCCTGTCTCAAAAATAAGTTATTCAAATGAAAATAAATAAAATAAAACTGTGTGCTTCAGACTGACGACAGGCAAGGTACCTTGGTGTTTTCTATTCAGTAAAGTGCTCACCCCCCAACTCTCTAAATTGATTTCAAGCCTCCTGCCCCAGAAGACCCTGGAGGGAGACGGAGTTAATCCTATATCCGTTGCGCCTCTCAAATCTTTTTGCTGGGCTGGAGATTAAATGTAATGAGAATTCAGGAAACTAAATTAGAGAATGACAGACGAGGGCATTCCGTGCCTGGTCGTCTTCAGGAAATAAAAAGTGGGGGAAGGAACGATGAAAGGAAATTTAGAGAAGAACCTGGTGTGTCCTGCCCACAGATAGAAGGCTCATTTTCAGACAGATGAATGCTAAAAACAAAACAAAACAAAAAACTCAATCACAGAACCAAGGGCTAGAGTCCAGCACACTCGGACTCCAGTGCCGTGGTTCTCAACTTGTGGGTCGTGACCCTTTGGCAAGCCTCTCACTCCAAAAGTATTTACATTACAATTCATAACAGTAGCAACGGAAATAATCTTGAGGGGGGGGGGTCACCACAGCAGGAGGAACTGTGTTAAAAGGCTGCAGCATTAGGAGGTTTGGGAACCACCAGTCTAGTTAAGTGACTTGGCAGCCACCCCCTAGCCCTTGGTGGCTTGAAGGGAAAGTGCTGTGTGTGTTCGTAGTTTTTCAAAGGGAGCACAAAGAGATTGGCTTGCAGAGGCATGGGTAAAGCAGGTGCTACCTAAAGCTTGAGTGACTTCTGTTCACTGTTGAAGTCAGAGCCTGTGCCTAGAGCCTGCCTCTATCCTCACACACCGGGTTAGGCTGAGTGCAGGTGTGAGCCCAGCCCTGGCATGTACACAGGCATGCGTGTATTTAATATAGCTCGGTGGCCAGCAGAATGGTATTTTTAGCTTTAAAACAAAATACATCCTTTTTTTTTTTTTTTTTGGTGGTCTAGCATCCGCTTCCAATGACAGACGAAACACGATGCTATCTGATCACACCTGAGAACAGCTGGGAGAGTGAAATGCCAGTTGCTGGGGCTTCCTATCCTCTATGTTAACACTTCTTCCATCATCTTTCTGTTTTGCTTCTTGAGGCAGGGTCTGACGTAGCCCTAGCTGGCCAGGAACTATCTATATAGCCCAGAGTAGACTCGAATTTTTGAAGAACCTTCGGCCCTTGCTTCTGGAGTGCCAAGATCACTCCAGAATACCCTGCCTTGGCACATCTCCTACCCCTCAACTGTATGGGTGAGAAGGAAAGGCTTGAAGAACTTTAGCTAAGGGCAGGATGCTGACTGGAGTCTAGATTTTAAAAAAAAGTATCTTGATTCATGGTTGTATAAAGAATGGAGATCCGGTAGCACCTTCACCCCATAGGAAAACCAAGTGGCTTTTCTTAGGAATAGATGGGGTGCGGGTTTTAGGATGTTAGGGTCTCCATCACATAGAAAAACAAATAGGGTTGAGAGAGTCGGGGGTGGGAGGAGAGTCAGGCATGGTGGGGGAGGGTGGGAGAAGAGTCAGTCATGGTGGTACACATCTGTCATCCCAGCACTCGGGAAGAATCAGGAGTTCAAGACCAGCCCCTACTGTATAGCAAGTTCAAGGCCACATTGGGCTACCTGTGATCTTGTCTAGAGGAGAAGGAAGAGGAATAGGGAGGTGGAGGAGGAAGACAGACAGTGAGCAACACATGTAGGAGTTTGTGGGGTGTGTGTTTGGAGAGGGGAGAAATGAGATAAATAAGTAATATAATGAAATAAATAAAATGGATGGTGGTTAGTTTGGTGACTTGACATACTCTGGAATGTATCTTGGGAAGAGTCTCAGTGGGGGATTGTAGAGGCTGGCCTGTAGATATATCCATGGGGAATTGTGTTGAGGCGGGAAGACCCAGCCCACTGTGGGCAGTACCATTCCCTGGGTTTGGCTCTTGGACTGTATAGAGAGGAGAAAGTAAACTGAATGTAAATGTCCAGGCATTCTTCACTTTGCTCTTGATGGTGATGACTGTGGTGTGATCAGCTGCTTCACGTTCTTCTATGATGTCCCCCTCAAAGACCGGCTGTCACCGATCTTTGAGGGGGACATCATAGAAGAACAAACAAAAGTGGTATCAGGGTCCAGGGAGATGGCTCAGTGGTTAGGAGCACTGACTGCTCTTACGGCAGACCCAGATTTAATTCCCAGCACCCATATGGTGGCTCACAAACATCTCTAACTCCAATAACAGAGATCTGATGCTCTCTTCCCTGAATTCTACATGTACTGTATGCACATGGTACGTAGACATATGTGCAGATGAAACATTCACGCACGTAAAATAAAAATAATTTTTTTAAATAAATAGCATCAGATGACCAGGCACAGTAGTGTATGCCTTTTAATCCCAGCACTCAGGATGCAGGGGCAGGTGGATTTCTGTGATTTCCAGGCCAGCCTGGTCTACAGAGTGAGTTCCAGGACAAGCTCCAAAGCTACACAGAGAAACCATGTCTCAAAAAAAAAAAAAAAAAAAACTTAGAGGGCACTGATCACTAAGAGCCCATATCAAATCCTCCACATCTTCCAAATCCTCCACATCTTCTGTTCTCATCATCTGAGGCGCAAAGGAGTGGCAGGTCACAATCTGAGGTCACACAAACTCCAGAAGCCCAGTGAGACAGAGCAGGGCTGATAGGCCAGGCCATCGCCCCCAAGACCAAAACTCAATGGAGACGATCACGGGTAGAAGTGGGAACTCACACCTGATTGTCAAACCCACAGAAGAATTCTAATAGCTCCCCCGCTTCACTGTCTGCCTCCTGTAATCAGCTACCCCAGCCACAGGCAGGGTCTCCCTGCACCCATAGATTCCCGGCGGGCAGAATTTCTAACGGTTCACATTGAGATGGAGCAGTAGCCAAGTCAGCCTGGGGGGAAGTGCCTTCAGTGGAGTATTTTAGATCTATTGGCTGTTCTGTTGCTCACTCAATGGCAAGCCCAACCATCAGCCCCGAGACTAAGGGGTTTGATGAAAAGCCACTCGGCTTTTGGGAATTATGGGTCTCAGTTACGCCTCCATCGTGTCCTATAATATATCGAAACTGAAATAACCTTAAGGCAGGCAATTTAAAGCCGCCCCCCCCCAAGTCCTGAAGAATTGCACCCACATGCTGACATGAAGAAGCAGTGGGGTCTCAGGGGTTCATTTGTAACGCCGAGAACAGCCACACTGCTGTCATAGGGATTGATGAACGCGCTACGGAAATTTTTTCTAATAAAATGCTTGGGATTTTTCTTTTCAACTGAAACTGAAGCTGACATGCAATCTGTGGTGGAGATTTTAGGTGAGACTTTGGGAGTGGAAATGGGCTTGGGGTGTCCTTAATGTCCGCTGTGGATGGGGAGCTGGTTTCACATTTTGAGTCTTGGAAGTTTGTAGCAAAGCCTCTAACTTCAACTTTCCCCTCCAGGACCCCACAGTTTAGACCCTGTTAACACTATCAAATATGGGGCTGGGGGATGTTCAGTCAGTAAAGAACTGACTTCTAAGTATGAGGGCCTGCATTCCATCCCCAGAACCCATGTAGAAAAAAAATGCCAGGCATAGGGGTGTGTGATTTTTTTGTTTGTTTGACTTTACTTATGTTTGTTGTTTTTTCCAAGACAAGGTTTCTCCATGTAGCTTTAGAGCCTGTCCTGGAACTCTCTCTGTAGACCAGGCTGGCCTCGAACTCACAGAGATCCTCATGCCTCTGCCTCCCGAGTGCTGGGATTAAAGGCGTGTGCCACCACCGCCCGGCGGGGTGTGTGATTTTAACCCCAGTGCTGGGGAGATGGAGACATGAATCCTGGGACTCACTGGCCAGCCATCCTGCACTACTTGGTGAGCTCCAGGCCAGTGAGAGGATACTGTCTCAAACAACAAAGTGGATGGGTCCTCAGGATGACCTGAGATTGCGTTCTGAGCTTCGCACATACCCAAGTGTGCATACTCTAAACACCACTCAACAGCATTGACGTCTCTGGGAAAACATGTTGGGTTAAAACAGAAATTCTTGTCCTCAGATCTCATTGTCAGTAGACAGTTTTACCTTTTCTAGCACTTATGACCCAGAATAACCGGCGTGGCAATCTAATTGCAAATTTTGATCCTCAAAAAAAAAAAAAAAAAAAAAATCACATACTTCAGGCCTTGTTTATGGACAGCCTATATTTAAAAGCCTCTGCACAGTAACCTTCTGTTCAAGCATCACTGCTGAGCTTGTTTCACACCATGAGTGCGAGCCCAAGTGGTTAAGTTTCTCTGAATTCCACCAGAGGCTGGGAAAAGCGCCCCTCCCCCACACCACCATCCTGCTGTGTCCTGATGCCACCCTACCAGGTGACCGTCTCGCAAGATGCCTGGGGAGCTCAGATCAAGTGTACAGTCTCTCCCAGAAACCAGCTGTTGGGACTGCCTCCTAAGAAAACATCTGGGCAAATGTGTGGAGAAAGGAGGTCACACCAGCCCCATTACTGTGGATCAAAGCATTATAGACAGAGAAAAGCAGGGTCCAGCAAAATGGCAGATGGCAAGCATCCAGGAAGGGAGCCATACCTTACCTGATTGCTGGAGGAAGGTGTTCCAGTTAAAGTTGGCATTTGGTATCGTTGCAATTCCTGGTGGAAGGAATATGAAAGGAAAAAAAAAAGTGAAGTTTTGGTTTGTAGGAATCCATTCAACTTCCTGAGCACTACAATGGAGTGTCATGGGCCCCTCAGCAAAGAGACTGGGTGCATATGTGAATGCCAGGGACGCCCCATGCTGCTGGACCACCATCCCACTGGGCGGTACAGACTTGAGCTCTTTGAAGAGACTCAGGAAAGTCTTCTGAAACTTGAACTCTACCACACTGGGTAAAGGCTCACCTTCACCTCCAAAAAATTCCTCAAATCACCATTCACTCTGTCATTTCCTCAGATGGATTTAAGTTAAACTTTTTGTTGTTGTTAAAAAGAAAACAAAAACCACAAACATTTCAGCCAAGAGTGATGGCTCATGCCTGTAACCAATACCTAGGTGGCTGGAGGCAGGAGGATTGCATCAAGTTCCAGTGGAAGCCTGGTGTACAGAAGAGGGCTCTGAAATACGGGAGGCAGAGAGAGGAAGGTTGAAAGAGAGAACCAAGTTAGGTGGTGATAGTGCACGCCTGTAATCCTAGCTCTGGGGAGGCAAAGGCGGGTGGATCTTTGAGTTTGAGGCCAGCCTGGTCTACAGAGTCAGTTCCAGGACAGCCAGGGCTACAATGAGAAACCCTGTCTTGAGAAAAAGAAAAAAGACAGAAAAAAAGAAAAGAGAGGAGAACCGAGTCCTGAAAGTTGTCCTCTAGCTTTCACATGTGTGCAGTGGTTTATACATGAACATAGATGAGTGAAATAAATGCAATAAATTGTATGTGTATTGCACATGCATTTTAATAAATTACACATACACATACATATACATATATATGTATGTATATTTTAAAATTCTTACCTTGACTCTGGACAAAGATCTTCCCAGTAGCATGTGGCTTTTGAAAGGGAAAGAAAAGGGGGGAAGGTTAGTTTGATGATCCAACCATTCTATGCTTTTTAGAGATCAAGATAATTAAATACCCGTTGGGAACCATCTCGAAGTCACCCACAAGGGCTTGTTAGGGGTACAGAGTTACTTCCACTCTTAATGGGTTTTGTGTCTCTAAGAAGAGCAAAGAAAGAAATCCTCTCGCTTAATGCAGCTTCGTGGGGGCTGTCAGCAGGAGAGTCTCTGAGGTTCAGGAGTGCAGTGGCGGTGGCTGAGGCCAAGGAGGGCAGGGAAGAGCCATTCGGCCAAATGTCCCTAACTGGAAAAAGGTATACCTCATCCCCCAGGACCGAGGAGGAGGAGGAGGACGAGGAGGAGGAAAAGGAGAAAGGACTGGGAGAGGAAAGGAAAGGGGAAGCAGGAGAGGCAGGTGCGGGGAAAGGAGGAGGTAGGGAGAGACCCAAAGAGCACAGTGGTGGCCAGTGAGAAGAACAGGGTGACTGCAAGACCTAGCAGTGCCCTCGGTGTTTCCAGAATCCAGGCAGAGGCCCGGTCCCTCTTTGCCCCCTCCCTCTCTCTTTCTCTCCCTCCCCCTCCTGTCCTCTTCCCCTCCTCCTCTCCTTCAGTTCTATTCTTTCTCCTCTTCCTTCTCTTCTTCCCCCCTTCTGCCAAGATGCCAACTTCTCATTCTTTGTGGCGTTCCGTAGTGAAAGGGCAGGAAGCCACTGGAGGGCAAAGAGTCCATGTCTCCAGGTCCTGGAGACAGGGGGCTAATAATCGTTAAGTGACACATTTGAACACAGAGGTGGGCGCTGGAGAGGGGCAGGAAATCCTCTGTCCCATAGCAAGAGGAGACTCGAAGATGCCCATGGTCGTGGTCAAAAATATTTCCCTGGAGGTGAGCTGTGGGGACCAACACTGTGTAACTTTTTATCTTGTAACCGAAATATTCTGATGAAGGCGGGAAGGGACACCTGAAGCCGGAGGTCACCATTTCTGTCGTGTGTGCACATATGACACACACACATACATATATATGTCAGGGGCACAGCACTACTGGTAATGAAGCAAGGCTCTGGCACTATAAGGGGTACACATACTGGTCCTCAAACTGATTTACCAGTTTGAGGAACATGCGTGCGGTGGTGTTACAGACCGGCCAGGCAGGCATTCCGTGGAAAGATGGGGAGCCAGCCGCAGGTCTGAGGAAGAGCAGCTTCCTTCCATTCTAGAACACTGAGGTTCACTCCAATTTAACCCTTTGAGCCACTGGCCCACCAAAGCTTTCGCTGTCCCACTCAAGACACTGTACAGAGGATACGGGGATCCCTGAGGGGATCCCTTGAAATCCCAAGCCTTTAAAGAGGAAGTGTTCAAAAAAAAAAAAAATCACTTCTCAGCTTGGCACAGTGGTGTCCTGTCTGTAATTTCATCACTTTGGATGCTAAAAACAGGAGGGTCACCTCGAGTTTGAGGCCAGCCTGGGCTATAGCGAGACCCTGTCTCCAAGCAAAACAAAACACAATGAAAATCTCCTACTTAGAGAAGATAATAGAGACCTTTCACAAAACAAAAATAAAGTAGAATGAGGAGCGGAGACAGGCAAGTTACCCTGTGGCACCCTAGTCCTCGCTAGCACATAAATGTGAAAATAATAACAAGCTCAAAAGTGTGCTAGGTGAACCCACAGTGCAGGCTGTGGTCTTAGGGACTTGGTGCTTCAGAGCAGGGACTTTCTCAAGACTGACCTTCCTGCCCACAACCTCCGTGCCTGACTTGTCTCCACAGACCTGTGCCATGCCCTGAACCTGGCTCTTGCCAGGATCCAAGGCCTCTCATCTTCAGGCTCAGAGCCTCTCCATATGGGATTCCATATGGAGGACCATATTTCTATCTCAGGCTGTTTATTTGTTTGTTTAAGATGGGACCTCCTGCCGTGTGGTGGTCGCGTATGCCTTTAATTCCAGCACTCAGGAGGTAGGGCCAGGTGGATCTCTGTGAGTTCGAGGCTAGCTTGGGCTACCAAGTGAGTTCCAGGAAAGGTGCAAAGCTACACAGAGAAACCCTGTCTCGAACCCCCCCCCCCAAAAAAAAAGATGGGACCTCCTGTAGCTCAGGCTGCTTGCATTGCAGAGGAGCACCAAGGTTTTGTGAGGCTGGGGATGGAACTCGGGTTGAGCATGTGCTACGGGGCATGCTACCCACCGAACTACATCCAAGCCCAGTTATAAACACCTTCCGTGTCTCACTCGTGTATGCTTTCAGGGTGAAACCCCACCTTGTTTTAACGGTGTTATTTTCTCTCCTTGATTGGTAAGAGATTTTATACGACAAAGAGTAGGAGAAGGGTAAATAACCTCCCTGAGAAGTGCCGATCTGTGTGTGATCGGTACTGATAGAATGAGTGAACATTGTGTGCATGGGTGGCGATTTCCTCTTAGCAATTCGTTACCGTTCTTTTAAAAAAGCTACAATCAGGAGTCATTTTTGTAATTTCAAAATGAACGTGGAGCCCTGGATTCTGCATCCGCTACAAGAACATTTAATGTGGTTTCCACGTGCAGAAGGTATGATGTCAGAAGATTAGCCTTTTTATTATATTAACCAAAGAACAAGAGGTCTCTTTTGTAGCTGAGGTCTGGTCTTTCTTTTCCTTTGTCTTTTCCCTTATCTTGTGATGCTCGCAGTCGGAGATCAAGTGCTGTACCACTGAGCCATGCCTCCACCCCTCATCAAGTACTGTGACAGCATCAAGCTAAGCCCCAGGCTCTCCCTGGTGGATTCTAGGCAGGTGCGCTACAGCTGAGCCCACCCCCGAACCTTGTCATCCCCTCCCTGCCCCTTTTTCCGTTTTATTCTATAAAAATGGGTCTCTTACAGAGACACGCCTATTTGAGAGTATGTGCCTAAAAGGATGCTGGCTTTTCATATCAAATAATTAGTCATATGAAGTAATAAGTTCTCACAGGTATTAAAAGTGGAATCTTAATATTCTCTCCCTTCCTCTTAAAATATCACATGAAGCCTTTTAGATTTTTCATTAGATCCCAGGGAAATAGCCCTGAGAGATGAGTGAACAGACACATTCACAAGTCTCTAGGTACGGCCATTTCTTCCCGCCACAGAGTTCACTTGGCAGCTTAATTAATTTTGGGTAGAAAGGGGAACCGAAAGGGTCATCTTGACTTTTTACACTTGTATTAGAACGTGTATTTCTCATGAGAATCGTACCAAGATTGTGCTGGGATTAGCCTGTCACTACACCCAACTTAATTATCTCTCTAGAAATAAAGGTGGAGAAAATGCAAGTTTAAGGTTTGAACTGGGTTCTCTGCTTAAAACCACATTTAAATACATTATCTCTGTGTACATACATATTATTATCTCCTTTTCAAAAGTGTGTAAGGGAGGGAGGGAGGGAGGGAGGGAGGGAGAGAGAGAGAGAGAGAGAGAGAGAGAGAGAGAGACTGACTGTGCATGCAGTGCCCAAAAATGCCAGAAGAGGGCATCAGATCTCCTGAGACTGGAGGTAGATGGTTATAAGCTGCCACATGGGTATTGAACCTGGAACCTCTGCAAGATCAGCTAGTGCTCTTAACCACTGAGCCATCTCTGCAGCCTCCATATTCTCTCTTTTAAAGCTACAAAGTGTCAGGCACAGTGGTAGGGTAGTGGTTTCAAAACCTATCCCAGCACTCAGGAGGCAGAGGCAGGCCCTTCTCTTTGAGTTCAAGGTCAGTCTGTTCTACATAGTAAATTACAAGCTAACCAGGGCTACATGGTGAGACCCTACTTCAAAAAAAAAAAAAAAAAAAGGTGGGGGGAGGAGAATGAAGAGGAGGAAGAGAAGGAAGAAAAGAAACCACAAGAGCATTAGAAGCAGGTCCTGTAATCTTTCTAATCTAGGATTACTGATATTTGATCACACTTTGGTAATAATTAGGCAAGATTAACAAGACTACAGCCTGAGTCAAGCTTGCCTCCAAAACAGAGAACATAAAATTAAAAACCAAAGCTGGCTTTTCCTCCGGGAAGATTAAGACTGCACTGCTCAAAACACATTATCACCGTTCACAGTCCATGAATCAAAGTCTCCCCTCCACAATCAAAAAGAATTCTATAAATGCAGCTGAGTCAGAAACCTTTATATTATTTATACATATTTGTACTTGAAAAAAATCGAATCAAATAAAGGTATTGGGCTGAACTTTATTGGAAAATCCACCCACCAATCCTGTACAAAAATGTGTATTAAAAACAACTTTGCTTTCAAATTTAATAACTATCCCCCAGCCTTTAAGATATGAAAACAAGTTAGTTTCATCTTTTATTAGGTTTATGCCAGTATCTCCGACATCCTCATCCGAGACAAGGCCATCGAAGCTATCTCACAGTGTTTTTCTTCCTTAGTGGGTCTTTTTTTAATTTATAAAAATTTATTTTTAATTATACGTACACATAAAGAGGTGTGTGTGTGTGTGTGTGTGTGTGTGTGTGTGTGTGTGTGTGTGTACATGAGTGCAGGTGCCCATGGAGGCCAGAAGAGGGCATCAGATCTCCTAGAGCTGGTCTTACAGGCAGTTGTGAGCTAATTGTTGGTGCTGGGATCTGAACTCAGGTCCTCTGCGAGAGCAGTATATGCTCTTCATTGCAAAGCCGTCTTTGCAGTCCTCATTTTTTTTTTTTTAATTTAAAAAGACTTGGTTTGGATTTATTTATTTTATTTTATGTGCATGACAGCTTTGCCTGTAGGGATGTATTTGTGCCACATGCATGCTTGAGGCCTGCAGGTGTCCTAAGAGGGCATGAGAGCCCCTGGAACTGGAGTTAAAGATGGTTGTGAGATGCCATGTGGGTGGGTGCTGGGAACCAAATCTGGGTTTTCTGGAAGTGGAGTAAGTGCTCTTAACCACTGAGCTGTCTCTCTAGCCACTAGATGTTTGCTTGTTGGTTTGCTCAGATGCCTACTATTCCACTGTCCACGCACAGCGCTGGCTGACCCAGGGCCGTGTTTAAATATTATTCAGTAGCATATACATATCGGAGGCAGTTGTAGTAGTACACGCTTTTAATCCCAGGACATGATAAGCAGAGGTGTGTGCTCTCTGCGAGTTCTGGGCTAGCCTGGTCTACATAGTGGACCACAGTTATACTCATACATTAGTATACCTCTCAATTCCCACAAAAGCATCTTTTTGCTGTAGATAGTAATGAACACAGAGACCCACAAGTGGTCACAGTGCAGAGAATGAGAGGCTGTGGAATCCTCAGCCCTCAAGAGCACAGCTGTATCGCATTCCCTCTTCCCAAGGCTGAGGCATCATTGCAGAAGACAGGGTGAGAAGACCGTAAGAACCAGAGGTGGGGGAGGGGGGTTGACTATAAGAAAACAATGTTTTCTTACATAGCAGGGCAGTCGCATATATTAACTCACAGCAATTGAGACAATGTGCATAAGACCCGTGCATGCTAAAGCCAGACAAGAGCTCAGCTTGAGGACTGGAGAGATGGCTCAGTGGTTAAGATCACTGGCTGCTGCTGTTCCAGAGGACCCAGGTTCAAATCCCAGCACCCACATGGCAGCTCACAACTGTCAGTAACTCCACTTCTAGGGGGATCTGAGAGCCTCCCACAGACATACATGCAGGCAAAACTCAATGCACATAAAATAAAAATAAATGGAGGGGGAGGAAGGCACAAAGTCTCATCCTTAGCTGATGACTCCTGGGAGAGAAAGGGTCCATTTTCTTTTTGCATGTGGTCCCTGGTAGGCTGACCACACTTCACGGTAGTTCCCACATGAAAGAGTATATGTAGAGGCCAACTGGACTAAGGGGGTTTAAAAAACAAAAGAGAACACAAAGTTGTGTGGGTAGGAGAAAGAGTTGGGGGTATGAACATGCGCAATAACATTGTATGGGGCTGGAGGGATGGCTCACTGGCTAAGAACACAGACATTTCTTTCTTTCTTTTTTAAAAATTTGTATTTATTTATTTTATGTATATGTGTGTTCTATTGACTTTTTACCAGCAGGGGACATCAGATCCCACCATAGATGGTCGTGAGCCACCATGTGGTTGCTGGGAATTGAACTCAGGACCCCTGGAAGAGCAATTACTGCTCTTAATCACTGAGCCATCTCTCCAGCACAACAGTAAGTTCTTACAAAGTAAGAAAAACAGTAAGTTCTTACAAAGGACCTGGGTTTGAGTCCCAGCACCAACATGATGGCTTTACAGCTATCTGTAATTCTGGCTCCAGGAGGCTCAGGCACCAGACAAGCATGGAGTACACAGATATACATGCGGGGGGAAAAATACACAAGTTTTAATTTTAAAAAGTTTTTTTCATACATTGTATGAAATTCTCAAAGAAGTAAAGAAAAAATATAAACATCACTACACTTTTTAGGGTAGCCACAGTAGAGAAAGGCAGCTCACAACTGTGCCATACCGCCATGGCCTAATAGACTTCTTCCCCGTCCCCAGGCCCCTCTAAAAAGACATCGGAAGAACACATACCCACTGCGCCTGTGCTGTGTCCTTCATCGCCTCTGTGAAAGCCACGGCAAACCTAGTCCATGGACAGAGATAACAGTCAATTAGGCTGGAATTCAATTAACACAACTCTGAAGCGGCGCTTCCTAACGGCCCATGAGAGACGGGCAGGACAAGGTTCCATCCACCGTCATTACTCCCGGTCACTGCCCATTAGGCCCCCATCTCCACCCACACCAGAAAAAGTTGTGTGAGGGAAATAAACTCAACGAAGCTCAAAACCCCTTATTTCTCTTGTTCCTTTCAAATAACGCCAGAAAAAAAGCAGAGATTTAAAAAAAAAATCAAAGGCTGGAGCTGGGGAGATGGCTCAGTAGTTAACATTTACCGCTCTCCCAGAAGACCTGGATTCAGTCCCCAGCAACCATGTACGGCGGCTCACAGACACCTGTAACTAGCTCAGGGGGACCTGAACCCTCATGCACACTAACATACATTTACATTTTTAAAAAAAGTCAGAAGTCGGAAAACAAAACCCAGTAGGTGACATAGTTAATATGCTATGAGCACTCCAGGATCACGTGACACAAGAACTTGACCAGGGAATGCTGTGTGTGCTATAGTGCCTCTATCTGCCCAGGATGCCTGCATGATAATGGGAATACCTACATCTTAAATCCATGGGGTGCACACACATATATTCAGGTTCGTATATACAAACAATTTTTAAAAAACAATAGAAGAAAAAGTCAGTAAGTCCTAAGGTGCTCCAGTGCTAAGAAAATGGGGAACTTCTATTTAAGACTGTTTGCCAGGCCAGCAAAGATGGCTGAGCAGGAGGAGGCTTGCTGACAAGCCTCATAACTGGAGTTTGATCCCCTGGAATTCACATGGTGGAAGGAAAAAAACAGTTCCCACAAGTTTTCCCCTGATCCCCATATGAGAGCTGTAGCACATTCATGCTCTCTCTCTCTCTCTCTCTCTCTCTCTCTCTCTCTCTCTCACACACACACACACACACACACACACACACACACACACACACACACTAAATAAATAAATAAGTATATTTAAAGAGATTGCCTTTGCCATGAAAAGAACATTAACAGATACCTTTTAACAGAATGGTATAGAACATTTCTTGCACAGGAATTGTATAAAGATGTTCCTTTTTTTTTTTTTTCAAAACCAGATGAGAAAATCCCAACAACTGAATTATCATGGCATCAGACAGACAGTAGCTTTAAGGATTAGTCATGTGTGTAATTCTATGACAGTCACACAGAAAGATTTTAAGAATGATTTCAGAGTTGGGATATCTCTAAGTGTCCTGGTCACTCTTAATCACCATCCTGATAGGATATAGAATCATCCTAAGAGACAGGTCTCTGGACCTATATCTATAAGAGAGTGTAATCAGAGGTGGAGCTTTCTCTCCCATATGCCTGATTACACTAGGCAGTCTCTTCCCAAATTACCACACAGAGGATTATATTAATTATAAATGCTCAGCCGTTAGCTCAGGCTTATTACTAACTAGCTCTTACAACTTAACCCATTTCTATTAACCCATGTACTGCACCTAGGCTCATAGCCTTTACCTCTGTCCCATTTTGTATATCTGGCTTGTTCTCTGTCTGGCTCATGACTCCGCCCCTCTTTTCCCTGTATCTCCATTTGGCTTTCCCGCCCAGCCTTATTCTTCCTGGCTATGTATAGGCCAAATCAGCTTTTCTTATCAACCAATGAGAGCAACACCCATGCACAGCATACAGAAGGATCCTCCCACAGCAAGGGAGTATCTAGATTAGGAACACGGAGTTGGGGAAACCCACCCTAACTGTGGGCAGCACCATGCTAAGGGGCTGGGGCCCTGGGCTGAAGGAAAGGGAGTAAGCTGGGCATCAGCATCCATTGTTCTCTGCTTCCTGACACATGGGGACACTACATGACCGGCTGCCTCACATTCCTGCCACCATGCCTTCCGCACCAGGATGGACTGAGTGGTACCCTCATGGGATAAAAGGTGTGTACTGCTGCCACACCTAGGTCCTTCCTTAAGTTGCCTTTGTCAAGGATTTTGTCACAGCAGTGACAAAAATATTTGAGAGAAACTGTCCTGGATAGTTTCATGTCAACCTGACACAAGCTAGAGTCATCAGAGAGGAGAAAGCCTCAGTTGAGACAATGCGTCCATGAGATCCAGCAAGCCTGTGGGGCATTTTCTTAATTAGTGATGGATGTGGGAGGGAACAGCTCATTGTGGGTGGTGTCATGCCTGGGCTGGTGGTCCTGGGTTCTGCAAGAAAGCAGGCTGAACAAGCCAAGGGAAGCAAGACAGTAAGCAGCACCCCCTCCATGGCCTCTGCATGAGCTCCTGCCTCCAGGACCCTGCCCTGCTTAAGTTCCTGTCCTGACTTCCTTTGATGATGAACAGCAATATGGAAGTGTAAGCCAGGTAATCCCTTTTTCCCCCAACTTGCTTCTTGGCCGTGGCCTTTCATCACAGCAATAGTAACCCTGACAGGGACAGAATCAAATATGCATGTCACTGAGTAGCAACCATTCCAGATAAAGAATGCAGAGCTGAGACTCGTATTCCACACTGACCCATATCCAGAGTACAATGGTTAAAACTGTATTGGCAATGAGAAAAAGAATAGGAGATCAAAAGTGAACGCAAGGCCAGGCGCTGGCCCCAAACACATCCAAGAACTTCATACAACACAATGGAGGCAGAGAATGGGTTAAATACATTGAAAAGGTTCCTACCTTCCTATGCAGGATATATCTGAAAAGACATGATAATGATAACAGACTGGGGCTGCCTGAAAAGGTGGCTCAGAGGCTAAGCGCACTGGCTGCTCTTTCAGAGGACCTGAGTTCGATTCCCGGCACCCACATGGTGGCTCACAACCATCTACATAACTCCAGTTCCAGATGATCTGACACCCTCTTCTGGCCTTTGAGAACACTGCACACACATGGTGCACAGACACACATGCAGGAAAACACCCAAACACATGAAATAAAAGTAAAGGAAAAGCATTTTTAAATAAACAATAACAAGTGATAAGTATTATTTTTCAAAAATATAGCCAGAAACAAAATGATACCGATTTTCAGATACATTTCATTTAATTTTGATATTTATAATTACCAAGCACTTACTATATCATAATTCTTAGAAGCTAAAAATCTAATCCAAAATTAAAATTGAATACTATATTGCATGGGATGAAAGTTTAAGATACTGAGAAAGTTCACACAACCCCTATAGGAAAAAAATACACCAATTTAAAAAGTGTTTGATCAAAAATGAAATGCTCATTATAAAGCCAGTCAAGGCCAATATCTCGTTTATAGAAACATGAGCTGTGTGGTGTCAGGCAAGAAATCCATGAATTGTGTTTCTCTCTTGCCCACTGGCCTCAATCAATAACTGCCCAAATTAAAAAAAAATCAATATTTGTTTTAATAACAATGCAATAAATAACCCTAAAGATAATACTGCAAAGATGGATTTGTTCAATAGTGTTTCTAGTGAACAGAATTACTTTTCTTCCATAGGACTGTGCAGCATGAACCATGTAAATAGAAAGGTAATATGTTTTTAGAATGTGCATGAAGTAGTAAGGAATATTCACTAATAGGTCACCTTTTTTTAAAGGGGTGGGGGGTGGGGGGTGTTTGCACTGTGTGAGTGCAGTGCTCATAGAGACCAGAAGAGGGTGCTTATAGCCTGGAGCTTGAGTTATACTCCAGCTGTATCAGGAACTACCTGATGAGGGTAGAAAACTCAGGTCCTCTGCAAAAGCAACTATTGCTTTTGTTATTATTGTATTTGGGGTGTGTGTGTGTGTGTGTGTTTTCCAGACAGGTTTTCTCTCTGTGTTTTTGTTTTTGAAGATGTATTTATTTTGATTTTCTATGTATGAGTGTTTTTCCCGTGTGTGTGTGCATGTGCACCACATTCACACATGGCCCATGCAGGTCAGAAGGTACTGGCCACAGCTAGTATCTGGGGCAGGGGTGCTCACAGAACTTATGAATGTGTCATTGTGGAGAAGCACCACCTGCAGGCAACAGAGCCATGCTCTTGGAGGCTCTCTGGTCCTGGATGACTGGGAGTAATGTGTAAATGGAGGACTAAGCCAGGGTACAGAATCCCCGCTGGCAACTGTGCTCCGAAATGGTTTGCAGAACTCACAAGATGACATAGACAGGAGCCATACTGAATAATGAATACCCATACTAAAGAATGGTTACAAGGATGACCCTCGGGTTGGGAAACCTAGAACAAACCTGCTTTGTTCTTTTAAATCATCTACTCAACCCTACACTGTGGTACATACATTCCTGTAGTCCCAGAGCTTGGAAGGAGAAGGCAAGAGCAGAGTTCAAGGTCATCCTCAGCTACCCATAGTGGTCAAGGCTAGCCTAGGCTACAGAAGACTCTTTCAGCATACACATACACACACACACACACACACACACACACACACACACACACACACACAAAACAAAAGCACATGCTAGCTGTCTTCCTACCACACAGAACCTTCTAGAATGTTCATGTGATATTACCATGAGGCCAGGTATGACTTAATTGGTTTACAATGAAAAATGGTAGCAAAATAAAACTATAGTGAAGGACAGTTTCGTTTTGTGGGCTTGTTGTTTGGAGACAGGGAAGTTACTTATGCAGACCAGGCTAGCCTTAACTCTCAGATATCCACCTGCCTCTGTCTCCCAAGTTCTGGAATTAAAGGCATGAGCTACCACGCCTGGCAAGGGTCTTATGTTGATGGTGTGAATCTGCTCTCCCTGGTAGGATGGAAGCCCTCCCAAAGCAGAGCGCCCCGGTCCTTACCTGGCCTCCTCCAGAACTTTCCCCATGACTTCATTTTTTTCTTTATGATTGGCATCTTCATTTAAATCAGTTCCACCAAAGATGACCCCGAAAGGGATGCCGTGACCTGCAAAATGATGACAAGTGGGACAGGCTGGACATCAGGAGGTGTCCCTTGACAAGTGGCCCGCAGCCATGAAGCAAAAAAAGCAGAAGTTCCCATGATACAGGAGTGTGTGGCTTGTTTGTCTATTTTGAAAGAGAGCTCTATAGCCCAGGCTGGCCTGGAACTCTCAGTGTTCCTGCCTCAGTATTCCCAGGGCTAGAATTACAGGTGTGCACCACCACTCCCAGATATATATATGTGTGTGTGTGTGTGTGTGTGTGTGTGTGTGTGTGAGAGAGAGAGAGAGAGAGAGAGAGAGAGAGAGAGAGAGAGAGATGTGTGGGGGAATGCATTTGCCACAGTGCTAGGGTGGAGGTCAGAGGACAACTTTGTGGAGTCAGTTCTCTCTGCCTTTATGTGTGTTCTGTGAGTTGAACTGAAGCGGCCCGGCTTGTAGAGCAATTGCCTTTACCTGGGGAATCATTTCACTGGCCCAGTGCTGTTTTGGGGGGCAGGTTGAACCAGAGCTTATTTCCCTGAAGATGACCCGGAACTCTTGATCCTCAGGCTTCTACCTAGGACGGGCCAGAGGGCTGCCATTTCCCACAAGCACTGCCACACCCGGTTTATGTCCCTCTAGAGATTGAAAGCAAGGCTTTGCGCATGCTCGACAGTCAGCCAGCTGAGCTCCAGCCCCGGCCCCTCGGTGTGGTGTGTTTTGGTGTCAGTTTCATCTCATTCAACTCTCCACAGCGATAGTAGACATCACTATTAGAAACCTGCACTGAGGACCAGTGAGATGGTTGAGCAGACAAAGGCAAATGCCACCGTGCCTGACACTCTGAGTGCTATCTCTGGGACCCACATGATGGAAGGAGATAATCGACTCCTTTTAAGTTGTTCTCTGACTTTCACAAGTATCTCTCTCCAACGCTACCACCATCCCGTGACCACGCCCACCGCCGCGACCACGCCCGCCGCCGCCGCGACCACGCCCACCAATACCAACACCACTCCATACATACAAATAAATATATGTACAAAGAAAAAAACCATGCCAAGTCCCACCCATGGTCCTCGGAACTAGTTTTCAGATTAATTTGCTTTCAATTATATTCTCAGAAAGTATCGTTCACCAGCATCTATCAAAGCCAAGTTCACCAATCCTGGGAAGAAATCAAAGAGCTCAGAGAAAACTGGTGACAGGAGAGGACCTTGTTTATCGTCCTCCCGCCGGCAGCTCAAGAAGCCTTGAGGAATGGGCAACGCTATATAGACACTGGTTCCTGGAAGTCACCAGGCATGGCCCCTCCCTCATGATCACCAGCTTCTAAAGCCGGTCATTGAAACTGTGGAACTCTGAACAGGATCTGAGAGGCATCCCTGGCCCTGGGTGTGAACACAACATTCTGAACTGAACTTCCCGAGTAGACCTGGCTTGCATAGAACTCAGAGATCTGCCTGCCTGCTTCTGCTTCTGGATTGCCCCGTCACGTTCAGCCTAAAAGTATCTTTGAATTCAGTTCATCACATATGGGCTGTGGTGACACATCAATCACATGTCTTTAATCCCAGCACTCTCTCTGAGTCCCAGGCCAGACTAATCTACATGGCCACTGAGTTCCAGGTGTCAGCCAAGGCGACATGGTGAGACCCTGTCTCAAAAACAAAAAAAAGTTCATCACACACTGTGTCTGAGACAAAATATGGAAATAAGATGTCATCATTCTGGGCCGGAAAGATGGGTCGGTGGTTAAGAGTATCAGCCATTCTTCCAGAGGACCCAGGATTCCTAGCACCTATTTGCAACTCAACAGTCTGTAGCTCCAGTTCCAGGCGCACCGATGACCTCTTCTGGCATCCATCTGCAGGCCCAGCATACACACGCACAGACATGCAGACCAAACACCCACACATAAAAATAATAATGGGGCTGGATTCTGTGGGCACCTGGGATACATGTGGTGCACATCTACATGAATGCATCCATACATGTGAATTTTTTTGTTTTGTTTTGTTTTGTTTTGGGTTTTTCCAGACAGGGTTTCTCTGTAGTTTTGATGCCTGTCCTGGATCTCACTCTGTAGACCAGGCTGGCCTGGAACTCACAGAGATCCTCCTGCCCCTGCCTCCCGAGTGCTGGGATTAAAGGCATGCGCCACCGCCGCCCAGCTCATGTGAAAATTTTTAATTAAAAAAAGCAATAAACATCTTTTTTTTATAATGATGTCATCACTCATAACTGATTGCTGTGGGAAACCTGGCAAAGATGGAGGATGTTTTTATCTTATTTCAGGTAAGAAGAGAAAACTGAAGCAGGTGGACTGCTTCACACTTGTGAGCCAAGGCAAGAGCTCAAGCCCAGCCTGAGCTACATAGCAGATTCTAGGCTAGCCTGGGCTGTAAAATGTAAGACCTTGTCTCAAAAGCCTGAGTGTACTGGTGCTTCCTGTAACCCCAGCATTTGGGAAGAGGAGGAAAGAGGACCAGCAGGTTAAGGTCAACCTTACCTACATTGTGAGTTCAAGGCCAGCCTGGGCTACATGACACCCTGTCTCAAAAACCTAAAACAACGACCAAAATGACAGACAACTGTGGGCCAGTGAGGTGGCTCATTGGGTAAAGGTGCTTGCCACCAAGGCTGATGACCTGAGTTCGATTCTTGGTAGGAGAGAACAAGACACCACACAGTTGTCCCCTGACCCCCATATGTGGGCTGTGGCACACACACCCTACAAAATAGATCAATATCATTTAAAACTGAAAGATAATCAAACTATAAGTCATACATAATTTTGATTTTAAAAGCAACACAAACTGACGAGCAATTATATAGGGCAAGGCATTTGAATTGGATCCATATGAGTCATGGGGTGTTATCATAGACCGGTTAATCTTGTTCTTGGCCACCTGACCCTATCTGCTTCCATATTAGGTTCCAGCCTAAGGCATATTCATAAGACTTCATTAACGCTCTGCAGCCAACATCAAATTAACTTGCAAGCTGTCTGTTTTATATGCTAGTTAAAGCATATGAAGAGTTCCCAGAATGCACCCTGCGCAGTACCCCAGCTATGGTCTCTCTTAGATAAGGACAACTATCAAGTTCTGTCTTTAAACACTTGAAAAATTGATTGATTTGTACACAGGAAAAAAAAAATCTTTTACACCCATCCCCAGGAGGGAGGAACAAATCCCTTGAGTGAGTTCAGAGTTCCTCCCAACTCAGAAGCAAACAGAACTGTGACGTCTTCATGTTTATTTGAAGCAGAGGTCAAGAGTGGTGGAATTAAGCACATAAATTAAAAGAACAAAAACAAGCTAGGTGGTGGCGGCACATGTCTTTAATCACAGCACTTAGGGGGCAGAGGCTGGTAGCTAGATCTCTGTGAGTTCAAGGCCAGCCTGGCCTACAGAATGTGTTCCAGGACAGCTAGAGCTACACAGAGAAACCCTGCCTCAAAAAAACAGAACAAAATAAAACAAAAACAAAAAAAAATCAAAACAACAACAACAAAAACAACAAACAACAAAACAAAAACCAGCAAGTAGACCAGAGTGAGGTGCAGCAGGACCCTCCAGGCTCACCTGAACTTCGATGGCAATTTTGTCAGTGCTGATCAAAACAAAAACCTGCATAGCCCTTTGGCCTCCAGGCTAACCGAGGGGCTCGTAGCACAGACACTCACCCTGACTTCAAGAACATATAATCCTCCTGGTGTGGCGGGGCATGCCTTTAATCCCGGCACTTGAGAGGCAGAAGCAGGAGGATCTCTGTGAGACCAGCCTGGCCTATCATAGTGAATTTCAGAGCAGCCAAGGCTACCTAGTGAGACCCTGTCTCCAAACAACAGAAAGGTATGATCAAAGACAGGGTGGCATGCCGTAGGGCCTAAAGTTAAGGTTGTGAGCACAGAGGAGCCCTGCAGTGTGATGTGGGTGGAGCCTGCCTAATCCAAAACTCCAAAATGTGAGGCGACTCCAAACTGGAAAGTCTCTGAGGACTGAAAAGAGACCACAAGTGGAAAATTCCACTCCCAGAGTCATGGAGAGCCACGTTGAAAATACTGTATGAAATCATTTCAGGAGCTGAGGATGCCTCTTAGCTTGCCACCCTGTCTGAGGTCCCCGGTTCATTCCCCAGCACCACATAACTCAACATAACACATGCCTGTAATCCCAGCACTTGGAAAGTAAAGCCAGAAGGATGAGAAAGTCAAGGCTATCCTCTGCTACTTAGTGCGTTCCAGCCTGGGCTACATGAGACTGCCTCAAATAACAAACAAACCTAAAGGACTCTAGGACACGTATACAAGGGAATGCGGCACATAAATGAACTTTGTAGTTTAACCTAGTATTCTCCAAATAGCTCACTACCCATGGGAAGATACAGAATTGAAAAAAAAATCGAGGATGGAGGGCTGGAAAGATCGTTTAAGTGGTTAAAAGCACTTGTCCACAGCCTGATGACTTACATTCAATCTCTGAAATTCACTTAAAGGTAGAGGAGAGGACCTACTCCTCAAAGTCATCCTTTGCTCTCCATGTGAGTGCTATGGCATGCTAGCACATCATGTACGCATGCGCGCACGCACAAATTTAAGTTTTTTAAATAAAAGTCCTTCTGCCGCAGACATTTCAGAAAAGAAATGCCCAGCTTGTACTATAACACCATGAAAGGGAGGAAGGCAAACACAGGCGAGAAAGACACAAAATAAAATCAATATTATAACCCCACCATGGGAATAAAATACATTGTGTGGGGTGGGGTGGGGGTGCGTGCGTGAGCCACTTTAAAAGAAGTAACAAGCGTTATTTCACAAAGGCTACATCTCATGGTTGGCAGAATCTGCCGCCTACTAACTGAACACCATAACTGTCATGTGTGGCCTTTGCTGTCCCCTCTCAAAGCCCCTGGGCAGCCAGAGAGGAGGGACAGGCGGTGCCCTTGATTTTGGCTCCATGATGTTCTCCATTCTGGGAAAACCTCAGACCATATATATCTGTGTGCTGCTGAACTTCTAGTGGAATTGAGAGTCAGCCTTGTTTTACAGGCCTCAGAAAAAAAAATGTTCTTTGACTATGTGTATGTGCTGTGTGTGCTCTTGCACACCTGTTCACAACAGGTTCACATGCATGTGGAGGTCAGAAGCTCAAGTCTAGTGTCTTATTCAATCATTCTCCATCTTATATACCAAAGCAGGGTCTCTCTCTTAATCCATAGCTCACCCATTCAACCAGTGGAGCTAACCAGCTTGATCTGAGGATCTGGTCTCTGCCTCTCTTGCACTGTGATTACAGCCAGGCCACCGTGGTCACCTGGTGTTACAGAGGTACTGGGGACTTAAATTGGATCATCAGGCTTGCATGGGAAATGCTTTGTATGCCGAGCCATCTCCACAGAGATCTCCACAGAGCCATCTCCACAGAGATCTCCACAGAGATCCACCTGGCTCTGCCTCCCGAGTGCTGGGATTAAAGGCGTGCACCACCACCGCCCAGCTTAAATGTCTGTTAAATGAAGACTCCAGATGACTTTGGGGAACTGGGCCTGGTAATGTGCACACGTGACCCCAGTACTCCCATGGTGGAGACAAGAGAGCAGAGTTCAGGGCTATCCTCAACTACTTAGTGGGTATGAGGCCAGCCAGAGATATGTAAGACTAAAAGACAAAAAAGAAGGCTAAGGAGTTGACTCAGTTGGCAAAGTGCCTGCCGTGCAAGACTGTAGACCTGAATTCAGATACCCAAATCCACGCAACCCACGCAGGGCAATGTATGCCTGCAACCCCAGCCTTGGCAGGGAGGCTCGATGGGAAGAAGCAGATTCCTGAAAGTCACCGATTAGTCAGCCTCACCAAATTTGGTGACCTTTATGATCAGTTAAGAGTCTCTGCCTTAAATAAAATAAGACAGAGGGAGGCCGGCGGTGGTAGCACACGCCTTTAATCCCAGCACTTGGGACGCAGAGGCAGGCGGATCTCTGTGAGTTCGAGGCCAGCCTGATCAACAGAGTGAGATCCAGGACAGGCACCAAAGCTACACAGAAAAACCCTGTCTCAAAAAAAAAAAAAAAAAAAAAAAAAAAAAAAAATAAAAAATTCTTTTTTTTAAAAAAAAAAAAAAAAAAAAAAAAGACAGAGGGCTGGCAGAGGTTAAGGCACCTACCTGCCTTACGGCCTGAGTTCAATCCATGAGACCTACATGGTGGGAAGAGAGAACCAACTCCCACAAGTTGCCATTCAGGCCTCTGGATGCACTGTGGCATGTGTGCTGCCACTCCCAGCATCCCGAAAGAGAAATATAAATTAATGTAAGAGAATAATAAAATAATGTAGAGAAGCCATTGAGAAAAAGACGCCAACCTCAGGCCTACACAGAGACCTCAATATACACCTACCTGCTCATGTGTGCACCACACACACACACACACATACACACACACAAAGGAAAAAAGTAAAGGATGGGTGATGTGTATGTGTGCTGTCGTGGGAGGGAGTCCTTAGATCTACTGGGTGTTACGATCACAATGCAGAATATCTATGTGCATGCCCTCAGTTACGCCATGTACAGCTGGAGCTGTGCGTGAATTAATGTATGAGTGAGTGTTAGCCATGGCCAAACTCCAGGGTGGTCACCTCCTCATGCTGATGGCTCAGCCTAGTAGCTCCCACCTAGATGATGACAGCATACTACGGAATTCACTGGAAGACTTTCATTTTCATTTTTTTTTTTT